ACTGTGATCTCGAGACAGTTTCGTGATCCAGTTTCTATAAAGATAGGGCTATATAAATACAAAATGCACTGAAGCCTCAAGATACATTTCATATGCAGGATCAATTTCCAGCACCCAGCAAAATACTACTATTTAACACCAACGGAAGTGGTTTAATCATTAATGTGTGGCGTGCAACCACCTGATTAAACACTGTCGTAACTCACTTAATAATTAGAGCTTTCAACTGTCTGAGTGGTACACAGGAGTATTTCTTCATGGTAGGAAGTTGTTTGCAGTAGCTGGGAAACATTACGGACAAATAACTGGGGCAAGCTGCTTGTGTTCATTAGGATCACAGAACTGGAGGAACCCCTCAATAACCTTTAAACATTCGAAGGTGAAAAGTATTAGCAGAGTCAAGAAAAACCCTACCTACAGATTATCAGGAAGAAATGCAAATAGTGAAAAGAGCAAGGGCGATGGAAAGAGGCCAGACCCAAATTCAAATCCCTGCTCCACGGTAACTGTGTGAACTCAGACATGCCATTTAGCATCTCTAAGCCACAGACTCATCTGTGAAGGGGAGAGAATAACACCTGCCTCATAAGGCTGTTCTGAGCATTAACTAGAACAATGGACTACATGTGAAAGCAAAGAGAATTGTGAGATCCCTGCTGCCTGCAACTTCATCAAAAAAAAAAAAAAAAAAAGACTTGACAAGAACCTGCTGCCTACTCTGTACAGGATATTGTGAGGCATAGCCAAGAAATGGTAGGTGGAATCACACAGAATTCCAGTATTTGACCATTTTACCAACAAACGCACCAATGTTATGTGGTTCAACCTAAGATAGGAGGCTGTCCCTCATTTTATATAAAGTCTGATCCTGTCAAGAAATGGTTGATGCCCAGAAAAACAATAGCAATCCCCAAATGTTTAACTAAGTCCTAAGTTGAATATATAGTAGACCCCGTTATCCACGGTTTCTCTTTCCGTGGTTGCAGTTAGCTGTAGTTAATGGAGGTCTGAAAATACGTGAGTACAGTAAGATATTTTGAGAGAACATTTATATAAGTTTCATGACAGTATGTGTAATAATTGTTCTGTTTTATTTTTGATTACTGTTGTTAACCTCTCACTGTCCCTAATTTATAAGCTTTGTCATAGGTATGTATGTATAGGGAAAAAACATAATGCTGTATACGTGAAGTTTGATACTATCTGCAGTTTCAGGCATCCACTGGGGTCTTGGAACATAACCCTCCAGGGTAAGGAGGGACTACTGTAAAGCAAAATGTACAGTGCAGGGAGGCAGTTGGTGGCCCTAGAGGTAACAAATGTTCTATTTTGGCTGACTGAATGACCGGACTCACCACTATTTTGATACCAAAATAGCTACCCTTTAGCCACCCACCTGGCCACACTCCTTTCCTTGTCAGTCATGGATATGAGGGCAGTGGAACACTGAGCCTCTGCTGCAGAAGCCCTACATGCCAAAGCCCCCACTGGGGAGCCGCCCGGTTCCAGGCAAAGGAATTCAGCACAGCCAAAGCAAGATTGAGATGAATAACTAGATTTACTCCTTGAGATTCCGAGAGCCTCCAACGGGAACAGGCTGTTTCCCAGAGCCAGTCTCAGCTGATAAGAGGCAGCAGATGACTCTTTCCAAGTAACAGTCATTATGATGCCTGTAACCTTTTTATTATAAAAATACATGCATAACCCGCAGAGCCCTACTTACTTGCACTTTCTTGGATGGCTGCTGGGTTTCACACAGGCCAGATTAGATACATTCTGACTTGTTCAGGCACTGTCAGTTTAGGTCCCTTCCTCCTGGAAGCAACAAAACCAGGCAAAGAGATTAATAAGGCCCACTACATCCAAGGAGAAATTGGGGGGCACTTTCTTAGCCAGAGGTTGCTCAAAGACAGCCCCATCCCAGTTGATGAACCGGTCTACCATGTACATGGTGTCTAGCTGATCCTTTTTTCCCCCTACACAGCCTACTCAGACATAGCCTGTATTTTACCCTTGTCAAATGGGGGAGGTAGCGCATCCCTTCTGTAGAGGATAAAGACCACACAGCTTCCGGCCTGGACACTGCTCATGCTCTCCCTTGGGGGCAGTGGGTAACTTTCTGGCTGGCCCTCTCACAGGCAGGAAGTTTGGCTGACATACATCCCCGGTTTCACATTTACTTAACAAACAATTATGTAACAGTTTCCATGTGCCAGGCACTATTCTAGCCACTATACACTCATTTATTATCCTCATAAGAACCCTGAGAAGTACAGTCACATGCTGCATAATGACATTTCAGTCAAGGATAGACCACATATATGCTGTTGGTCACATAAGACTATAATGGAACTGCCTTATACAGACACACAATTTTTTATCATTTATATCATTTATCATTTTTATTATTTATATATATAAATTATATTGTGTATAAATGATATTGTGTGTTAGATACACAAATACTACCCTTTGTGTTACAATCCCCTACAGTATTCAGTACAGTCACATACTGTACAGGTTTGTAGCCTGCGAGCAATAGAACATAACACATAGCCTAGGTTCCCAGTAGGCTATACCATCAGGGTTTCTGTGAGTGCACACTATGATGTTCACACAATAATCACATTTCTTAAGGAGACATTTCTCAGAACATATCCCTGTCATTAAGTAATGCATGGCTGTATGTACAGTTATTAAGCCCATTTTACAGATGAGAAGCCTGGGGCAGAGAAAGATGAAGTAACTTGCCCAAGGTCACAGAGCTGCTAAGTAGGAGAGCTAGGATTTGACCAGGCTAGGATTTGAGCTGGTAAGTGGGAGAGCTGTTATTATCTCCCCTTCACAGATGGGTCTGTGGCTTAGATATGCTAAATGGCATGTCTAAGTTCACACAGCTACTGCGGAGCAGGGATTTAAATCCGGGTCTTGCCTCTTTCCATTGCCCTAGCTCTTTTCACTATTTGCATTTCTTCCTGATAACCTGTATGTAGGGTTTTTCTTGACCCTGGCTCCAGAGTTTGTTCTCTAAACTACTAGAATATCCTACCTCTTGAAGTAAGAATTTTTTAAGGGATAGGTAGAGGCAGAGGGAAGGGCAGAGGCTCTACCCACAGACGCAGCCACTTTCACCACGGCTTGAATTGAGAGGCTCTAAAATGTTTTTCCCTTGCCTTGCTGCATCAGAGTTCATGCTGTGCTCCCTCTTCTGAGGCATCCAAGGTCCTCACTCAATTATGAATAAAACTTGGCAGGAACAGTACAGTTATCATTGGTCATTAACACCCAGGCCCAAAGCATGTTATCACATTCAAAGTCAAGCAGACTTCTGAGAATCTGGGTCCCTGAAGAGGCAAGTTGTGAAGATGAGGAAGAGAGTTTAAGAAAGGTCTATGGCTGTCAAAGTTGCCTAGGAAAGAAAGGCCTGAGGACGATGATGATGAAGATACACAAACAGCCTAAGGGATTTTATGAAAATATTGGGTGCCTCAGCAGCAAGATCCTACAAGAAGAAATAAGACTACACTGAAAACAAACTTTACTCTTTCCTGGTTTGGCCCCCCAGTCTTGCTTCATAAACTACACGCAACTCAAACTTGACATATGGCAGCTAGGTTCTCTTCTGCAGTGGCAGAGGATCCCAGGTTAATCAACAAGGCCCCTGGTTAGGCAAGTGTCCAAACTCACACTTATCCTCTTCTTGGACAAAGATACAGTCTTCGGTGAAGCCTGTCCCATGCTCACCCACGCTAGGGCAGCATTTGAGAAAACAAAGCAGCAACAAAGCATCCAGGTCAGAAGGCACAAGAAAAGCCTCACATGGGCTGGATAAGCTGGGGTTATTGACTGTGGCAGTGACAGGCAGATCCTCTCAGACCATTGCAACCCAGATTCCCAGCTGGTTGTGACTGCACAGCCCACACACTCTAACGACTCAGCTTCTCTCATTATGATTAAGATTATGATTAATGTCTCATTTATCAAACATTTGATACATGCCAGGCACTGTTATTAGTGTTTTACATGTATTAACTCATTTAATCTTCATAACAATGTTATTAAGTAGGTATTGTTATGCCTAGAAAGACTGATGCTCTGAAAAGTAGCAGGCCAGAGGTCACAGCTACAAAGTGGAAAATTGGGGTCTTTCTCTCTGTCTCAAAAGTCACCTTCTCTATTTCTTTTTTTCTTTTTTTTTTTTTTTTCCGAAACAGAGTCTTGCTTTGTCACCCAGGCTGCGGTGCAGTGGCATGATCTCAGTTCACTGCAACCTTCTCCTTTTGGTTTCAAGCAATTCTCCTGACACAGCCTTCCAAGTGGCTGGGATTAAAGGCACCTGACACCACGCCTGGCTAATTTTTGTGTTTTTGTAGAGATGGGGTTTCATAAATGGTGAACCTTCTTTTAAGTGGATATTGTGCCTTGAAATATTAACTAATGAATGTACTACATTATGTTAGTATATACTTCATAAATCAACTTACACTATGAAATTTCTCTTTTGGCCATCTAAAAAGTTTAGAAACCTTTGCTCTAGACTGGAGAATACATTTTGCCAGTTGAACCCAATCTTAGGACTACAGCCAAGGGATAAAGTGGTAACATAAGTTGTTTGTTGTAACAGCTATCCCATAAACAGTGTTGCATAAATTTTGTTCCAAACTTCAGGCCAACCCTGTTTTTAATCTTTCTAAGCCTTTAAAACATTTTGAGTAGAGGAGATTGTATGTGAATGCCTCACTTCCTCTAGCCTGGACTTTCTACATGCCTGGTCTCTGAACTTCTTGCTCTGGTCTCTGACCTCTCTTTAATCATCCCTCATTTGCTTTTTTTTTTTTGAGACAGTCTTGCTATGTTGCCCAGCCTGGACTCCAATTCCAGGGTCCTGGGCTCAAGTGATCCTTCTGTCTCAGCCTTCTTGGCAGCTGAGATTATAGGTGCATGCCACTGTGCCTGGCCTCCTTATTTGTTTTTCTCACTCTGTGCCCCACATTCCACAGAAAATGGGAAGCTTCCCTTCATGGCCATGCTTCGGAACCTGTGCAACCTGCTGCGGGTTGGAATCAGTGCCCGCCACCATGAGCTCATTCTGCAGAGACTCCAGCATGCGGTATGTGTGAGGGGCTGGTAGCCATGGGGCCCAGCAACTAGATGTGCATGTGGACAGGCCACTGCTGCTTTGGAGGCCAGGCTTTTTCACGTGGCAGAGGAAGGTATGGCCACCAAGTTGTTTCCATGTGGGCTGTAAGTAGGTCTGGAAATACAGATAGGTTGAGGGAGATAAGTTTGGGGGTTCAGTACATCCTTTGAGAAGTTACAATAGAGTATAAGAACTTTCCTTTTAATTTTCTGAGCTCAGTGACTTACCAGGAAGAGACACTTCTGTGATGTAACTGATTTCAGAAGGAGTCTTTATTTTTTATTTATAGAGATGGAGTTTTGCCATGTTGGCAAGGCTGGTCTCGAACTCGTGAGCCCAGACAGTCCACCGGTCTCAGGCTCCCAAAGTGCTGGGATTACAGGCGTGAGCCACCACACCCCGCCCAGAGGGAGTCTTAAAAGAAACAGGGCTCTTTCTGTTACTTTCTCTTCTTTTGTTACCTCTTCTCACACCCTAAAATGATGACTTTTTTCTTTCTTCTTCTTATCCCTTTTCTATATCTCTTGTCTAAGTTCATTTTGTCCTTCTGTGCCTTCTCACAAAGCTAATAGAGTGGACCCCTGAAGCCCCCCATACTCCCGGCTCCTCTGCTCATGACCCCTCCCTCCCTTGCTTTCTAGAAGTCGGTGATCCACAGTCGGCAGTTTCCATTCAGATTTCTTAATGCCCATGATTCCATTGATGCCCTTGAGGCTCAACTCAGAAACCAAGGTATTCTCCCCCTTCTTCCAACTCCTGTTTGCCTCTCATATCTGACAATAAATGAAGCAGCAGCACCAATATTTTCAGCCTCTTGCCGTGCAGTCTCAGGGTGTGTTGGGGTAGGGGGCAGAAGTCAGGCACTTGCCAGCCCCAAGGGTTGGGGCTCAGGCCACATTACTGGTAGGAAAAGATGAGGGAATAGAAGCTGCCTAACTCAGAAATTTACCTGTCATACAGCATTGCCCTTTCCTTCTAATACAACACTGATGAGGCGGATACTGACTAGAAATGACAAGAACCGTCCCAGGCGGAGGTTTCTTTGCCACCTAAGCTGTCAGCAGCTTCGGACAGTAATGAGGGTACCTGTGATGTATGAGAAGCTTAAGAGGGAGAAGCTGAGAGTACACAAGGCCAGGTATGTATGCACTGTCTGGGAGCCAAGGGTGGGCAATTGGGGCTACCCTGGTACAGGCTGGAAGTCATCTGGGAAGCCCAGCTCTTTTTCTGTAAAGATTTGCTTGTCAGTCATCGCAATGGCTCAGAACTGCCTGGTTTTTTGCACAGCACACCTTGTCTTTAACATTGTCCGAAAGAGAGATCATGAAACGAAATCTACTCCTGGACCTCCACTCTATTATCTGTGATTGTTGTATTGGTTTATGTGGATTCCTTTTAGTTATGCTGATCTATGGTGGTGTATGCTGGTGTCTTCTCTACTTCTGCTCTGATTCATGATTTTCTTTCTTTTTCTTTTCTGTGACATGTTTGTTTTTCTTTCTGTTTCTATCTCTTTCTGTATTTTTTGACCCATTCATCTTTTTTGTTTTTGGGGGATGTGTGTGTGTGTGTGTATTTTGACATACACACAAAGATAGTTACCATCAGCAGGCTCAGACAGATGTACAATCTGTTTTGTAGGCGTGATGAAGTCTCAGCTGTCTTTTTAAGTGGTTCATCAGTATCTTTCACTTATTTTTATTCAAAACAAACACAGGACTCACTTAATCTTCTAGAGGGCTCAGTAACCGGGAATCTCCTGAAACAGTAGCTGAACAGAGGGCCATTTAAGAGTCAAGCCTGGCCAGGTGCGGTGGCTCACGCCTGTAATCCCAGCACTTTGGGAGGCCGAGGCAGGTGGATCACGAGGCAGGCAGATCATGAGGTCAGGAGTTTGAGACCAGCCTGGCCAACATGGTGAAACCCCCTCTCTACTAAAAATACAAAAATTAGCCAGGCGTGGTGGCGGGTGCCCGTAATCCCAGCTACTTGGGAGACTAAGGCAGAAGAATCACTTGAACCTGGGGGGCGGAGGTTGCTGTGAGCCGAGATTGTGCCACTGCACTCCAG